TCGATAAACGACTCGTTTACCGGTTGTACTTTGTCAGATTGTGCTGTGAATGTATCACCAAATATCAGCTAAACGTGTCAGTACGAGTTCCTTAGTGTATTGTTGTTAAAGATACATTACTTCTAAACCGATTCTTGGCGGGTAAAGGACACATATGAGGCAATATACACGTGATGGGCGCTGAGCACAACCAGGAAGTTCGTCTTAAACAATACCATATACGTGACCTCCGTGAGGCCGTGGCGTCATCTGTCAAAATGAACTGTAGCGGGCGATATACACTCACATCCGATGCGCTAAATGGAACCAAAGAAGAAGGTACATGGCCGAACCCCCGGGGTGGAACAGAAAACACACACGCCAAGGGCGGTTGCAGGATGTTCAGTCAGTGGGGGCGCACCTTTACAGTGATGTCATCGTCACATTGCATTGTGGGGTGTACCTGTGTGAGTAATTACGGGTTTTGATGGTGCCCCTTCTAAACTTGCCGCTGCACACATCAGTTCCAGCATAAAATGTGATATTTTGAAAGCATTTTTACCCAACAATAATATTTCGGCCCGGAAATAAATTATAACCACCGAGTTCTTTATTCCAAAAGTCCAATTCGTAATATGAGACAAAAAAAATTGTATAGCATGAAGCGGTTACTAGCGATACTAGTATCTATTTTTTTTTTTTTTTTTTTTTTTTTTTTATTAGCCTTTGAAACGGCGCAAAAAGTAACATACAAGTCAACAACGATAAGAAAAAGAAAAGAAAAAACAATCTATAAAAAGCATTCATACATGTAAATCATTCAGTTTATCGTTTCTGAATTTTCATAGGCGGGTGAGAAAGTTTCGGATTTCGTTTGATGTATTATTTCCCAAATCCTTATTGATTACCCATAAAGCATCACTGAAGAGAAAATTAAATTTGAAATTAATTCCACCTGAAAAAAACTATATGTACAATAGTTGATTCTCCACCACTTTCCACTATTGTATTGGTCAGTGCTGAATAGAATTTACTTCTCAAGTGGTTAGTTGATTTGCAAAGAAATAAAAAGTGATAAACATCCTCCTTTCTATCATTACAAAGCTTACATACCATCTATACAATATGATTTATGTGGTAAAATTAGCGTTATAGATCGTCACTAAAATTGATTTCGAGACAGAATGTCTTTGTTTAGAAATTACCCATCATGGGTGTTATACTTTTATTAAGTTTTGAATAATTTTTAAGATAATGCTGAATCTAAATTTACTTCCAAGTAAGTGACATAATTTATACTACTGTAAAATATTTTATTTTCGCTTGGAATTAATTTTCGCTATTTTCGCTGAAGGAATAATTCAGTGAAAATAAAATCCAGTGAATATACCTTTTTTCCTATATTTTACATTCAACTCGTCAAAAATCAGTGAAAATAAATTCCATACAAAACACCCAAAAAGTCCTTTCAGTGAAAATTAATTTCAGCTAAAATAAAGTATTCTACAGTATATTGAAAGCATACCATGTACTGCATTTTGAAAAGAGATTTTCGTTGACATTTCAACAAGTTGAGTCGCATCACTCTTTGGTCAATTGCTGAGATATTTCTAACCTGCCGTTGTTGAATATTTGCATATACTTAGTGTATTATATTATTCCAGTTCGCGTAACGTATTTCGAAAAGTGTTCTTGCGTGACTTGTGCGAAATTCACGCTAACCCGTTGGCACGCGATCATCTATTTTCGTGCCGGGCCACTTATACGAGTTGGCGACTTTAAAAAGTAGCTGGCCCGAGTGTCTGTGGTGTATTTACCAGGAAAGACACAGACACTCAACGTACTAGTGCTGGATGAACATTATAAACGGTGTGTGTATTCTCGAACTAGATGGCCCGTGCTTTGAGTCCCGTTGTCATGGTAACTTAAGTATAGTTAATAAGTACACAAAATAATAAAACATTTACATGAAACATAACATTGTTTCCTTCTACGAAAAAGAAATAGAAACTACTATGACCTAACGAAAAATACCAAGATCAACTTGAACTCTAATAACTGATCATAAAACAAGTTGTAACGAATTAAAAGTTGTCTATAACTGTTTATAAGAGTCTATGTAAGGTAATATTCCTTCAAATATTCAGGTGAGCAAGCAATACACTTGGGTCACCCTGCAAACGGTTGATTAGTAATGTGCTTGTCCAACCGGTATGAAACGTTTATTGTAAGATCTGCCCGAGGAATCTGATGCAGGTTCAGATGAACCACGTCTGTAAGAACAAATACACCTTCTCGTTTTCTACACACAGTCATCATTCAACTGCTACGACAATTTTTTTTTCACTGTGCGTTTTGATTGTAACAGGGAGGGACTGTGGTTTGAGTTAGCGATAAAGTCAGTTTTTGATTTATTATAAGGTCTGCTGTTGATTTACAGGTAAGATCCCCCTTGAGGGTGAGTAGGGAGGTGCCCCTGAGTACTCAAAAGTGTGACCATTTTTATACCTGGATAGTGTCAAAATCTATACCCATATTTATACCAAAGTATCATTTCTGTCATCACTGTTTATTCCAAATAAAACAGTTTCCGTATTTGCTCAATTAGAAGAGCATCTCCAATAGAAGCACATGTAAGCCAACAGTTGCATTGTATATTGATTTATTAAAATATGTTTTTTGATCATAGAAACACCTCTGTCACTTACATAAGTATACCAAATCGGAAAAAATATTACCGATATTTATACCTATCTTGACAAGAAATAAGACCGATACTTATACATGTACCTAAAATCCAAAAAACGAGACCCATTATTGCCCCGGGGGTAAGAACATGTGGCGTTGCTCTGTAATTTCCAATTATTTCAGTCATGAGAGCATGACAGTTAACTTGCTCTTCTTGATGTCAACTATGTACTCGAAATAGAATTCTCCATCTTGTCAAGACTAGGGATCTTTCCCGGGGATATAAGCTCGTGTACATTCAATAGTTCAGTCTAAAAGTCGTTGCTAGCGGAGCGGCGACCGAAGCAACCGTCGCAAGCTGTAACTGTATTCAACTACCCTCGAAAAACATATTATAATATTAATATAACATTATAACTCAGCACATAGAACATTAAGTCAATCACAGACACTTCCGTTAACATTAAGTCAATCATAGACACTTCCGTTAACATTATGCCAATCAAAGACACTTCCGTTAACATTAAGCCAATCACAGACACTTCCGTTAAAATTAAGTCAATCACAGACACTTCCGTTAACATTAAGTCAATCACAGACACTTCAGTTAACATTAAGTCAATCACAGACACTTAAGTTAACATTAAGTCAATCACAGACACTCCCGTCACTGTTACTAATAGTGCATGGTGTCACCCTGGTGTTGGTTTGTGTCTACTAACGGCGACCTCAGAGGTCACTTTTCGAATTCTATATGTCCTTTGATTTCACAAATAACCTTAAACAATAGTTTTACTTTTATAGACAATTGAAT